TGTTTTGCTGCAGTATGACAAAAATGTGTTTTTACATTATTAATATATATATATATATATATATATATATATATATATATATATATATATATATATATCTATCTATACTATTATAAAGAAGAGGTGGTGTCTGTGTGTGTGTTTGTATGAGCTAATCTCAAAAACTACTGGTCGGATCGGGCTGAAATTTGGCATGATGATAGCTCACATTGCCGATTAACATATAGGCATATTTTTATCCCAAAAATCCTTCGGGGCTCCACCCCAGTGGCTCTGGAGTTTCCCATGTTAACCTTATGAGAAATGGAATTAATGAATCTCAACAGCTGTTTCAATTAAACAAGTTGGTTCTGTTCTATGATGTTCAATAGCATTAAAAGTTACAAGGATTACCAACAGGGTGCAGCACTAGCACTATTATTTCTTTTACATTTATGACAACAGCAAAAGGTGAGTGAGCGTAGCGAACGAACTTCAACCTGGAGGCGAGTGAGCGTAGCGAACGAGCTAACCTGAAGGCAAGTGAGCGTAGCGAACGAGCTAACCTGAAGGAAAGTGAGCGTAGCGAACGAACTTCAAAAAGAACCGAAATTTCTTAAACCATGTCCTCACTCATAACTGCTATAAGCATTTGATACTTATATGCCAACCCCGTACGAAGGACGGGTACTCTGCTAGTATATATATATATATATATATATATATATATATATATATATATATATATATATATATATAAAAGTAGTACAACATTTCAATAGACTTTTTCCTTGCCACTTGCTCCGAGGCAGATGTCTACATTTATACTCCAGCAAGCGTCGGCAGTGGAAGTGGAGTTAAAAATTCAAGAGGGAAAGTGGTTGGGTTTAATTTCATGGCCTAGAGGCCAACTGGTGACTTGAATTGTGTAAAGTTGTTGATGAAAGAATGAAATGTTTACACAATAAAACATAGGAGAACTAAGTAATTATTTGGACTCTTGTAATTGTTTCTAACTGCACGATGACTTTGACAGTACCAATACGAGTTCTCGTATCTGAGAACCGTTATTAAACGTCACTGTTGTTAAACATTTTGATTTTGGATTATGCAACTCGTGAATAATAATATGTGTTTGATAGATATTTCACAATTTGTATTTATTTATTTTGTATTTATTGCCTTAGGCTTTTAAACTGTGAAGACCTAAACCAATATTTGGTATACATTAAAGCTTTTACCTTTGTTAGGTTACCAATTAGTTTAACGCCAGAGTTTTCTTCGTAGGCTTCTTAAGTTCATAAATTTTAATAGAGCCATCTTCGTCAATAATAAGTCAATAAGTCATACTGTATCATATAGTTAGTTGATTGAATTTAGAAAAGTTGCAGTAAAGTAATCAAGTAGAATTAGTGTATAATTTGTAAATTAACTTATGTAATATTAAAATGTTTAAAGGAAACTGTAAAAAATGATAGTCACCCTTATCAACATTATATAAAATATATCACAAATTTTGAAGTCACGAAGTGACGCAGGCTGCTAGTAAATAATATAATTCTCAAAACAAATATTGTAAAGCTTTCCATTTCCACACAGGGGCAATTATCATAATACAATACAGATCAGAGCAAATTTCTAATTCTATATTGCTTTAGTACACTGAACTTGATATGCAAGTGTTATTAAGATAATAGATATAGATATAATAATAGATAATATGATAATAGATATAGTCAGAAGTGTAATATTCGAGTGATTTAGTTAATGGATAAACGCGATTATCGATGTTTCCATTACATCGATAATCAGTCATCGGAACAGTAATTTACTCGTGTTACAAGTGTGTAATAATTTTGACTATCGATAGATTATTGTTTGATTCCTCTAATGTTAAATGTAATACTATTTTTCAAAAGTAATTAATACTTAAAAATACGCCGATTATACTTAATATTTGTAACTGTAATGATAAAAACATATAGATTATGAGAATTAATAGGTATTGCTTAATATGCTGTCTCTTTGTACAAATCAGGACTATTATAGTTTTATGTATAATATTTTTATTTGAGATTCCCTGCCATTGATGGGTTATGCATTGACACTAAGCTATATAGGTTTTGGTATTTTTTCACTGCGTTCAGACTTGTCATAGTATTGAACAACATGACACCTTTTTTATATGTGTTTCATGGTCGGTTACCTTTGAGTGCACTGATGAACAATTTTTTTTTTCTTCTTTTCAGGAAAAAATGTATTAAAATTCTTTCAGTGCATTATTCTTTGTTTATAATAACAGAAAACAATAGCTTACAATTAATTTGTTTATATAGTTAAAATATTTAATAAAAAAAAATAAATAGTAAATAACTATTTGCTATCTACATAGACCCTGGAGAAGTAAACCATGAAACTGTTGCTAGACACATAAGACAGAAAACTAAAAAAAAAATTAATTCAAAATATTTAGGTATGTTCATCCTTTGCATATAAATTTATATAATAATGGAATGAAAATGAAGAAGAAAACAAAACTGTGTTAACACTTTCAAACCCCTTTCTTGGAAGGTTAAATTATACTTTAATTGGTAATTAGAGCAACAAAGTTATAGCAAAATTAGTAAGACAGCTAAGGGTGGTGTTGAACTAGACTCACTTGTCTCTATTCACTAATAACCCCCCTAACCCCCTTCCATAGCCCCCTAGACCCCCCCCTTGCCCCTACCCACCCCACTCAGCTCAGTTGACACACTTTAAATACTTATAATTACATTGTCGTTTTTCACGCGATACAGAAACATTCATGGCCTTGTCTTCATAATTTACCTCATTTAATGTACCCAACCTTCAACGATGATTCTTCAATTAAAAATCATTATATTCGTCTAATTTAGCTTAATTTTGTGTGGGAATCTTTTCAGATATGTACTACAGGATAAAGTAAAACTAAATAATATGTTGTGCTTTGATTGACAAACAGATGGAGCACAAATATATAAAAAAAAAGTTATTAGAAGCTTTTCAAAACATTCAACCTATCCGATGCAAAATTAATGTTTCTGTTAATGTTAATTTATGTTTTTGTCAATGTTAATATTTATGTTTAGATGTTCATCTCAAAGTTTTAAGATCTTATTCACAGCGATGTGTTTTACAAATTATGTGTATCTGAATGTGTATAATAATACTACAGAGGTCGTCCAGTGGTCGAAAACTCGACCAAAAATATGTTTAAGATCGCGTGTTGTCATACAGTATTTATTAACTACCATGTTTATACATTAGGTCACGCGTTAAGTTTGAATTAGGTTTATCAACTTGTTAACAGTCATATATAGTTAGTTTTCATATTATGGTACAGACTTCTCTATTTTCACCCCACGCTGAAAATAAAACATGTGATTGGAATTTCTTCTTTTTGTTTAGATTTTCTGTGTATGTTGCGTTGTTAATCCATCACCAGAATGGCAACCCATAAGCCCCATGTTAGTTTTTTTTTAATTTAAAATTAATTTTTTGTGCTTTTTATGAGCATATTTTAAATTATAAAGGGGATCTGCACATATACAGGAAACTCTATTTCTAACAGCATGCGTAGATTTTCCCTGTGATGCAAATGAGCTGAAACAAAGGTTTTTAAGAAACATGGTTGCCTAAGGAGTAATTAAATAAAGGCGATAGTTATTAATAAATGTTGATGAACAATAGTATCTAGATGTGTTTAAAATAATTTGGTGTCTTTTTATCTGTATAAAACTCTAAAATGTTTAGATTTTATACAACTTTATCTGTTTGCAAAATAATTTACAACGTCACTGTGTTTTACGAAAAAAATTTTATTTTATAAGTAAAAGCCTGGCTCTTAGCCTACAATAAAAAGACATAAACATTTTTAATTTGGAATTTAAACTGGGGAGTTTTGTCAAACTAGTTTAGCACCAATGTGGGGATGTTACTGTTGGAAATTAAAGTGTAGACAGTTCCTATATAAGAATGTCTGGCTGTAGGGCTGAACCTTAGATAATATAGTGAACAACTGTATTTTATGATCATCACCAGGCAAATTACAGTACCTCTACATCCATCCCAAATTGAACTCTGATAATTTGGATTAGAAAGTTGACTATAAACATAGGCTATAGTTGGCATAGAAAGTATGCATATTGATTTTTAACAACTTAAAAACATTGAACGGGAACATTTTATGAACACGTGTTTACTTAAATATTACTATAACTGTAACTGTGCTGTGTTTTTAGCCTAAAATAAATTGCCAGCCTTAAATCTTTAGTAAAATCAATACCTATTAACATGGTACGCTTGCATAGTACTAATCCACTTTCCAAGGGTCACCTTGGAATTGGGAAAGAAAAGTCTCTCTTTTTTGGACCCACATTGTACAATGGACTACCCAAGAGCCTAAAAGCCGTTGCATCCAGCAATACCTCTAAGATTAAGTAAACAAAGTTCTTAAAATATAGAAATGTTTAGTTGTAAGTACAGTAGTTTAATGACAAAAGTTATTCTGTAAAACTGATATGTACCAGAAAAACGCTGGCTATTAAAGACATTTTTTTCATTTTTTACTACGTTCTAGATAAATTTTGTTAACCTATTATCATATTTTAGTCCCTCAATAAATATAACATACTCATCTAAACAAATAAATTACATTCAATCTCGCTAATACTACTCGCAGAAGAAACGAAGTTGCAAAACCAAAACGGAATGCAAAACAGTTTTAATTCCAACCTCTTTTATCATTCCAGGTCTTTATTTGTTTTCTTTCTCATACAACTCATGGAAAAAGTTCGCCAAGCGAAAAAGACGTTTAATGGTGGAAACGTCACATCACGCGACTCGCTCGTGTCACGCATCGTTCGACTGAGGGCGTAAGGTCCAGGCGAGCGAGTTCGTGCGCGTCCGGGCATGCTCGGGCGTGTTCGGACCTGCTATCGACCCTCGTGTAGTTCTGCCGCTCGCCGCTGCAGGGTGTCGGCGCTGCCTTGACGCAGTGGTAGCAGCCCATAGGACCGGGCCACCAGCACCGACAGAGCACACTCTTTCTTTAGTGCAGTTTTCTTTTTTACTAGTTTAACCGTTTTGATTTGTAGTTGTGGGCGTTGGCGTGACACGAAGAGTCGGTCGGTCGTGTGATGCTACGGGTGGACGTACCAGCACTAGAGGATCGACCAGGAACACCAAGGGATAGGAGAGGGCCGCTGTAAGGTGAGCTACATCGATATTTCACTGGCCCCACGGCTTGCAACACCTAGCTTGTACATTACACTGTAGTGTTGAAGTGGTCTTGTGTGACCCAACGGTAAATTTAGAGTGTAATTGAGACTTTATATGACTTTAAAGGCCATTTGTAATTTTCATGGCTTTACAATGACAAAGCTATTACGTTACGATGGTGAAAACGAAAGTAGAAGTAGACATATTTACGATTTAATAAAGAGTAATATTATTGTTGTTATTGTGTTTCTCACAAATTTTACTACGAATATTTAAAAGCAGCTTCTTAAAATTAATGTTTATTTTTAATAATTACGAATTTCAAAGATAAAACTTTAAACAGTTTTAAACCGTAACCTGTTCTACACACAGTTACAAGATTCATAACGTAAATACTGTACATATTTATACACCTTCTATTATACTAATCACGTAATGATGGAATACATTTTAAAAATAGAAACCCTGTAATTTTTGTAGGATATAACAATCATAATGTCAAATCAGTCTCATCTAGTGTAATTCACATAATATAGGCTAATTTTTATTAGCTTATAAATAGTAATGAAGTCGTAACAAAATACAATTACTCTGTAAATCTAAATAATCTGAAAATATAAATCACTTAACATTTCTTTTAATCGCAGTTTTTAATTAGAATCAATGTTATTATCCACAAACAAACAAAACCCTATTACGTTAACACTGAAAAACACATAATGTAGAAAAGTATATGTAAAGAGATAAACAAAATCAACAAATATTGAAAGGAATAAGGTATTTTTGTTTTCCTAGAAATGCAGGGGTTTTTCTGTACAATAAGCTAGTGTATTTGCTCTGGCCAGCCAGGCGCTCACCTCAATATAGCTACTCGGCTGTCATGCGGGTTGCAGACTAGCGCCTTCCACTTCGCGCATACATTGTTCTGATATAATTCTAGTGCCTTGGTTAACTGTTATTACAATGAGGAGTATGCTCAATATTTTTATATATTTAATTGCATCAACATCAACTTGAAATATTAAATTATGTAATAAATATTGCTGTAACAAAACTTTAAACCCACAATCAATTAATATGCACTAGAGGTCGTACAGTGTTCGAAAACTCGACCAAAATTATGTAATGTACAGACTTCTTTTTTCACACCACGCTGTAAATAAAACATGTGATTGGAATTTCATCCATTTGTTTTGAATTTCTATTTATATTTCGTCACCAGCATGGCAACTCATAAGGCCCAATGTTATTTTTTTTAATTTAAAATTCATTTTTATGCTTATTTTTGAGCATATTTTAATTTATAAAGGGATTCTGCACATCTGCAGGAATATGTCTTTCTGAAAGAATGCGTAGATTTTCCTGCGATGCACACGAGCTGAGAAAAAAGGTTTTTAAGAAACATGCTTACCTATAAAGAATGTAAATAAATGGTCATGACTCCAGAAACAGCTTATTTTAGTCAGTAACAAAGCTCTACAAATGTCTTCTCAGTCCATTCTACAGCAACCATAAATACATATCCAGCTTAAAATAGTAGGCCTACAGTAATTGTTGTTTTATGAAGTGACATAATTCTGTTAGAATACTAAAATTCGATTAAAAAAGAAAAAGAAAAAAGAATTTCATTACTCAATGACTTACAATCCTAAATTCTATTAAGTAGATAAATTAATTTCGTTCACACGGTATTTATTTCTTTAGTGGTTTTAGCTTTTCTCGTAAATTATATAAACGATAAATAGTTAAGTGGATATGGCAATTTGTAACGATTATTGGAAAATACATTGATTTTCTGTCCTCGAGTCTAGTCTAGTTTAACATTAATTTACGAAAGGTTCTAATTAGATATACTTGGAGTGATACTAATCAAACGTACGTAAACATGGGGTCAAGCCCGTAATGAACATAATAATGCAAATCAATTATTGTTTTGGGCTGAGTAATAATGTTTGGAAAAAAAGTCATACAAAATAATAAATTATGTTGAAAAAGTATTTTCAGTGACATCAGACTTCATTGACTGTTGTAGTATGTGTACAGTCTGATATAAGAGATAAGAATAATAATCAGCATATTGTAAAATCCATAACTCTGTGGGCTCAAATTACTTAAACTACAATCAAATAGGCCAATCCAAAGTAACCATAAGTGCTTTAAGCTACTGTAAAACACAAACAAATAATATCCCAGAACTGATAGTTAAACCAGTTTCATAAGCAATTAAAAATTTTGAGTGTTTTAAGGTTTAACAGCACATACATTCATAATTCATACATTCACAACACATACATAATCAGTTTCAACACATTCGTAGCACATATAGAAATTTCAAAGTCACAACACATTCACAGCACATGCATTAACACTGTCAACACATACATAGCACATAAATTAACACTGTCAACACATTTACAGCACATACATTAACACTGTCAACACATTCACAGCGCATACATTAACAGTTTCAACACATATACAAATTACAAAGTCTCAACACATTCACAGCACATATGCTAACAGTGTAAACAAATTCACAGCACATACATTAATACTGTCAACTCATTCACAGCACATACATTAACACTGAAATCACATTCAGATCACTTATATTACAAAGTCTCAACACATTCACAGCACATATGCTAACAGTGTAAATAAATTCACAGCACATACATTAATACTGTCAACTCATTCACAGCACATACATTAACACTGAAATCACATTCAGATCACTTATATTACAAAGTCTCAACACATTCACAGCACATATGCTAACAGTGTAAATAAATTCACAGCACATACATTAATACTGTCAACTCATTCACAGCACATACATTAACACTGAAATCACATTCAGAGCACTTATATTACAAAGTATCAACGCATTCACAGCACATACATTCACACTGCCAAAACATATCCAGAAGCACAGTGTATGTATGTGTGAGAGAGTGTGTGTATTTGAATGAAAACAAAAGAAAACTTATTCATGTCAGTTCCTGAAACTAATGGTCGTAAAATGAAAGTCTGGAAATTAACAGTTTTTACTCGTGTAATTTGGGTTAATCAGTACTACTTCTAAACTGTAAGGCTTTCGAAGTAGTCTCACTTAGTATTGTAGTTTCAATTTGATCTATTAACTCCCTTTCCACTGCCCTGAAAAAGTATTCCTTCTTCGTGTCAAAGTCGATTAAACAAGAAATTGGAGTGAAATTAGCAACTGGAGTCTTACGAGAAATTCAATATTTCTTCTGTGCGGTACCCAAGCAAATAATTCAGTGATGCAATTGCATGATGTGGTCTGTAGTGTCATTCTACTTGACTCATATAAGGTTACTCTGAACAAAAATAATTTGTAAACTACATAAATTGATTAGGTTAATCTTAAAAAATGCAACGGTAAACAGTATTTCGATTCTTTTGGTTGAAGGCAAATTAATGAATGTTTTGTCATTCTGCAGCAAAACACCCGTTTTAATACGTGCGTTGTAGCAAGGTGTTGCCTTGGTTGTAGGTGTAAATTAGTTATTTTGTAAAGCATTTTTAGACCCTAGGGATTAAAAATCAGCTGCTGTAAACTCAGTTGTAAATTTCATTTGGAAACGATCACATGTGTCAAAAGAATGTATTGATTGCTTTAATCGGTTGTAGCTTATTGTTCCCTTCTTGTCAATAGTTCGACATATCGATGATATGTACACTAACACAATCGTAAATGGACGAAATAATTGAACTCTTACTAAACAGCTGCTTGTTTGCATTATCGAAATAAAAATATCGAAAGTCGTTTTAGAGGTTTGTAACATGAGAATTATTTTCATATTGTCAGTTAGTTTGCTCAAATAAGAGCGCAATATGACGAAACATATAGTCCATCACACGGACAAAAAATCTCCCGTAGTTTGGGTTTTGAAAGAATGTCTTTCAAGTTAGGAGCTTTTATGTAGTCTTGGGGGTTTGGAAAACAAATTATGGGTCAGAGGTGAATTTGAAAGAATATTATGTGCCACTCTTAAAATATTATTAACTTTGTAAAGGCCAGGAAAGTATTAGTCCAGTCATTGAGTAGTGGAGGTTCAACAAAATTGATTCAAAAGGTTTTTCAACGGATTTCATTAGTTTTTTACCTCCACACAACAGAAAAAAAGTCTACCAAAATCTGACTTGGGGAAGTACCTGAATTATGGTATTTAAATTAAAATAATAATTGCTCCGTGAAAAAAACAGATAAAAATATAATTGCTATATAGGGTGTAGTATATCGTTTTTAATGTTTTGAAGGGTGGGGAAACTAAATATGCAACTTAAAATGCGATTTGACACCACAATATGGCCGCCAAAATATATTCATGGAGAAAAAAAAACTAAAATAAAACTTACTTTTAGATATAGGGTGTAGTATATCGAATTCAATGTTTACAAGGGTGGCAAAACCAAAAATGCAACTTAAAATATGATTGTATAAAATGTAAGGTCATAAGATGAAAATCGCCAAAATACGCTCCATTGAGGAAAATTAAAATAAACTTACCTTTAGAAATATGTTGTAGTAAGGCGATTTTAACTTTTACAAATGCCAGTAAACTAAATATGCAACTTAAAATAAGATTTTACATCATGAGATGGTGGCGTAAGATGTGATACCGGGGAACATGGATTATTTTTACATAGGGAATAATAATGGTATTTTAAAATATTAATAAATTGAATTCAATGAACACACGTTTGAAAAGGGAAAAGGGTACTTGGTCCTAACCTTAGACGCTCCTACTCTTTATACACGCTCTTTGCGGATGTAATACCAAATGGAGACCCTTTGGAATAGGAAAACTATCTGTTATGAACAAATACCATGATCTCAAGGAATTCACTGAATTGACATTTGGTCAGTGTAAAGGGGTCACATGCACAAATGGGCAAACCCTTGATTTGAGTGAAAATATTGAAGTAACAGAGTAATTTATTTCAGAGTAACAATTTCTAAAAAG